TTCCCAGCACCCACAGAGTGGTTCGCAGCCATCTGTAACTCCAGCTCCAGGAGATCTGATGCTCTCTTCTGACTTCCGTGGGCACCAGGCACTCATGGGCAATACACATACACATGTAGACGAAACACTCACACACATAAAATAACTCTCAATTCCTTTTTTTTTTTTTTTTTTTTTTTTTTGGTTTTTCGAGACAGGGTTTCTCCACAGAAATAATAATTGGAGGGAACTTGAGCCCTGGGAAGGGAAGAGCCAAGGATGAAGAATGTGGTGAGGAAAGAGGTGCTTGAGGGACACAGAAAGGAGTCACAGTTTGTGAAAGAAGCCATTCCCATTCCATTCTCCCTCTCCCCCCCCCCCCCAGTTTCTTTGTGTAGCTTTGGAGCCTATCCTGGAACTAGCTCTTGTAGACCAGGTTGTCCTCGAACTCAGAGACCCACTTCTGCCTCCTGAAGACTTGGGATTAAAGGCAAGCACCACCACCGCCTGGCTGAAAGTGATTCTTAAAAGCCAAACTGCACCCTGATGGTGGTGACACACACCTTTAATCCCAACACTCAGGAGGCAGAGGCAGGCGAATCTCTGAGTTCGAGGTTAGCCCGGTCTACAGAGTTTCAGGATAGCCAGGGCTACAAAAAAAAGAAAAGAAAAAAGAAAAACAAACTGTCTCAAAAGCCAAACTGCACATAGTTTCAGGGTTTTGAGAAGGACCTGAGTAGATTCCTGTATCATAGAAATTAAGGTGCTTGGTGAGCGGGATAGGGAGAAATAGGCCTTGGAAGGGAAGGAAGTGGAGTCAAGTGTCAGGGAGGGGATGTCTAGGCTGGAGGAATGGTGAAGGTTATCTAAACATGAGGCTGGACACAGGGGCCACCAAGGACAGACAGCTAAAAGAACACAGCCATTGACAGGGAGTTTGAGTGGCATTGACCCAGAGAACAGGGCACTTGAGTTACTAGGCAACCAGTCAACAGCCGCAGGCAACACCCGAGCTGGGCCCTCCAGGGAATGTCGTTTGCAGTTAATAGTGTCTGGGATGTGGGGAGACGGCCACAGGACCACAGATTGCTTCATGGGCAAGGGTTGACTTCCTCTGTTCTTATCTTCCTGTGTTGACAGAAAGTTGGGCATCCTTCGGAGGATGGATGGGCTGTTATGCAGAGCAAGGAACATGGGAAATTCACTGGGTATCAAGTCCCATCAGGAGAGGGAAGAAAATGTCATAGCTTTTGTCCAAACTCAGTACAAGGAAAAAAAGGAACAGATACAGCTAGGGGTGTGGCTTACACCGCATTAGAGATCTTACCTAGAACCCCCCAGTGAGGGGCTGGGGTGTGACTCAGTGGTAGAGCCCCTGCCTAGAATCCTCCAGTGAGGGGCTGGGGTGTGGCTCAGTGGTAGAGCCCCTGCCTAGAATCCCCCAGTGAGGGGCTGGGGTGTGGCTCAGTAGTAGAGCCTCTGCCTAGAATCCCCTATTGAGGGGTTGGGGTGTGGCTCAGTGGTAGAGCCGCTGCCTGGAATCCCCCAGTGAGGGGCTGGGGTGGTGAGTCACAGAGGAGGCTGACACAGAAGGGTCGGAGGTTGAAGACTGGAACAGACCTGGCACTTGCTGATTCCAGGCTGGCCCAGAATGGTTACTCACAGTGTAACCCCGTCTGGTTGAAATGTACGGCAACCCTTCATGGCACCGGATGTCAAGTGTGCTGTACCAGATACCAGGCTGGTACTGCGTAATGATTAAGGGAGCTCTTCCTCGTACACACTGTGTGCAGGGTCCCTGTCACATCGTGATACATGGTCAGCCCAAACCCTGCCCCCACTGTCCTCCAGTCCCCTTATGGATAGCTTCAGACTGTGGAATACCATGAGGAGCATCTCTTAGCAAAGGAAAAGGAGATGGCTGCTGGCTGGTACCCTGCCCTGCCCTCCAGATGCTTGACTGAGGTAATAAAGATGAGCTGGAAGTTCACTGAACAGGGAGGGGTTCACTCCATAGTGGGAAGGGCAGCTGCAGAAGACGTGACGCTGAGACGATAGGTAGGTGGGTCGTGAAGGAGGGTGACCAAGTAGAAGCTGGTGATAGTGTCCACCCGAGCTCACACAGTGGGGAGGCATGGAGAAAGGAAGACGGGGCCTGCGAGGATGGCTCAGTCAGTAAAGTGTTCGCTATGGAAGCGTGAGGACTTGAGTTTGGTCACCAGAACTTCCGCTTAAAAAGCTGGGTGTGCTGTCATGTGCTTGTAACCTCAACACTGGCGAGGTAGAGATGGGGGGTGGGGGGACAGGACCTGGGACTCACTCACTGGCTGGTTAGCCGAGCCTACTTGGTGAGCTGCAAGCCAGTGAGAAACTCGCCTGACCGACAGTGGTGGTGCACACTTTTAATCCCAGTACCCAGGAAGCAGAGACGGGTGGATCTCCTGTGTTCGAGGCCAGGCTGGTCTACAGCCTGAGTTCCAGGACAGCTTGGAACTACACAGAGAAACCCTTTCTGGAGGGGGTGGGAAAGCTAGTCGTAGGGCTAGTGAGGTGGCTCCGTGGGAAAAGGGACTAGCCACCAAACCTGATGACCTGAGTTCAATCCCACGTGATGCAAAGGAAGAACCAACTCCCACAGGTTGTCCTGAGAGCTCTACGCACACAGTCTGGCACACCCACAAACTCAATACATAAGTAAATAAATAAATGTTTAAAAAATACATGACGGTGAATAGCATCACCCACCTTAACAGCTACGGTTGTAGTGGACCACGTGTGTACGTACACACAAAGAAGGAAAGAACGGAAGACTTGGTACTCGTAATACTAGTCCTCAGGAAGCTGGATCCGGGGAATTGCTTCAAGTTCCAGGCTTTCCTGGGCCTGTGTGTAACCATGAGGACCTAGAACCCAGGGATAGCCTGAAATGCCCTGTAGTGGGGGGTAGGGTGGAGAGACAGGATATCACTAGGGCCAGCTAAGTAACAGTGTAAGCTCCAAGTTCCAGAGAGACCCTGCCACAAAGGAATAAGGGGGAGAGGGATAGAGGAGGACACTCAACACCCTTCCCTGGTTGCTGATATATATAGGCACACGCATTAGCGCACTTGCGTGCATGCGTGTACCACACAAACACATATACAAACAGTAAAGGGAAGGAAACGTCTGCATATCCTAGAGCAGTGGTTCCTCTCCAATGCTGCTGTGACCCTTTAACACAATTCCTCATGTGTGGTCTGTCTCACAAACACACACCGCCAACCGTAAAATTATTTCATTGGCTACTTCATAACTAACTTCACTATCATTATGAATTGTAATAATTAATCTAGTATGCAGGATATCAGGTTGTCCTGGAGGGTCAGGTGGGGTGAAGTTCACAGACACAGGCCACTTGGTGACCAGCAAGAGCAGCAGGTCCCTCTGTCTCCTCTGTCCTAAAGGCCCTCTCTGAGGCGGTGTGCACAATGAATTGAGATGGACATCCAGCAGCTGGCTGGCCCCCTGGGACATGTCACTTCAACAACTTATTTATTTATACCTCGTGTCCACAGAGGCCCTAGTTGCCGTCTGCTGGTGTTTATGCCCTCCAGACCAATGTGTCTGGTCTATTTCTGGAGTGTCCCTACAGCTTTGAGGGTGACTGGAGTATGTGTCTTGCTCTCTCTCTCGGGCAGCTGGGAGGCCCATCCCTCCCGGCATGCACCTGTTAGAGCCATCTGGAAGCTGGAAACTTCAAGGCTCTCTCTGAGGATGTGGGACCCCTATGAAGGAAGGAACACCCCTCCTAGAATATTGATTGCCACTTACAAGGTGATGGTTTAGTGTTGTTATTCTGAGGCAGTTATTAATTATAAAATGGACAGGCGGTGGTGGCGCACATCTTTAATCCCAGCACTTGGGAAGCAGAAGCAGGTGGATCTCTGAGTTCGAGGCCAGCCTGATCTACTGAGTGAGCTCCAGGACAGCCAAGGTGACACGGAGAAACCCTGTCTCTAAAAGAGTTACAAGTTGGCTATGAAACAGGCATGGCTAGAGATGTCACCAAGGAACCGAGGAGGTCTGACAGGATGGTTCAGTGGGTAAAAGGGGCCTGCGGCTAAGTCTGCCAACCTGAGCTCAGTCCACAGAACACACATGGTGAACGGAGAGAACCTCCTCCTTTAAGTTGTCCTCTGACCTCCACGCGTGCACCACAGCCTGCTCACGTTTGCACAGACACAGGTGAACAGGGGAGGAGCTGGAGCTGAGTGTGTGTTAGTGACTCATCAGAAAAATTAACAACACAAGAAGTGTGTGTCACCTGGCCCCAAACAGGCATCCTCTTGAAGATCGGGTTTGCTGGCGGTTGTTCTGTTTCGGGATTTTATTTATAAGGATGCGCATGAATGTGCCTGGCTGAGGTTCACGCGCACCACAGGGAGGTCAGAGGGAGCTGGGTCTGCTGGAACTGGAGTGGCAGACAGTTGTAAGCCTCTTGATCCGGATGCTTGGAACCGAACACAAGCCCTCTACAAGAGCAGTAAGTGCGGTTGACCACAGCCGTGGCTTCAGCCCCTTGAAGATCAGGTTTGTGACATGCCATTCACACATAGCAAATGCTGCTCTTTTAGCCAGCTGTGGTGGTGCACATCTGTAATCCCAGCCCTTAGTGGGTAGAGGACTGGGACATGAAGGTCAGCCTTACAACGTGAGTGATGAATGAATTGGAGTCCAGCCTGGACTGTGTTAAAAAAAAAAAAAGTCACCCTTTTTAGTGGACAGTTCTTTGGGTTTGATGGAGATGTAGGATTTTGCAGCCACCACTATATACCAGAGAGTACACCGGGGACCTGATGATGTAGCTTAGTGGTAGAGCACTTGCTTAGAATCCCTCAGTGAGGGGCTAAAACATGGCTCTTGGTGGAGCACCTACCTAGAATCCCCCAATGAGGGGCTGGGGCGTGGCTCAGTGGGAGAGCACCTGTGACTCAGCAGGAGGCCTTCCAGACTAATCAGATGTTCTGTGTCTTTGTGCTCAGGTGCAAGTTTTTCAGTCTGACAGAGACTCCCGAGGACTACACCATCATCGTGGATGAGGAAGGTTTCCTTGGTAAGTGTCTCCCATCACAAAGTGGGACACCTGCCCGCCTCCTTATTTCTTTTTCTATTTTCTTTTTTGTTCAAAAAAAAAATGGGGGAGTGCTCGCTTCGGCAGCACATATACTAAAAAAAAAAAAAATGGGGGAGGGAATCTGTTTGGGGTGTTTTGTTTTGTCTTTTGGAAATTGGGCATTTGGTGGTGATGCCTTTTTTTTTACCTTTTACATTTATTGGTTTATTGTGTGTCTGTGTGCACACACATGGCAGAACATGTGTGTGGAGGTCAGAGGGCAACCTGTGGAAGTCAGTTCTACCGTTCCATGTGGGCTCTAGGTGTTACCCTAAGATCCTCAGGCCTGGTGCCAGCACTTTTACCTTCTGGGCTATCTCATTGGCATTTGTTTGTTTTGTTTGTTTCTGAGATAAGGTCCCAGTATAGCTCAGGCTAACCCAAACTTACGATGCTCCTCTACAGCCTCCCAAGTGCTGAAATTATAGGAATGTGACATCATACCTAATTTTTTTCCCATTCTCTTTCTTTAATGTTTTTCATACAAAATCATTTTTATGTGTTTAGTTAATGTGCGTGTGTGTGTGTGTGTGTGTGTGTGTACTGTGTGCATGCAGAACCCTGTGGAGGTCAAAAGAAAGCATCAGACCCTCTGAAACTGGACTTAATGGCTACCGTAGAGATGCTGGGAACCAAAACGAGGTCCTCTGCAAGAGCAGTAAGGGCTCTTAACTACTGAGCCATCTCTCTTATCCTTATTTTTCCATTTTTTAAATTTAAATATCATTTGGTTATCATAAAATGTATTCTTTTGAGGATTAAAAAGATGGCTCGGTGGTTAAGAAGACAAGTTGAAACTCCAGAGGACCTGGGTTTGATTCCCAGCCCCACCCGGTGACTCCTGACCACCTGTCACTCCAATCCCAGAAGATCTAATCCTCCTTCTGGCCACTGTGGGCACCAGGCACACAGATGATACATAGACAGATGTGCAGGCAAAACACCCATACACATAAGATATTATAATAATTTTTCAAAAATGAATCACCATTTCTTTTTTGAAGTAGAAGTATGGCAGGTTGTTGTATTTGGTTTTTGAGATAGTCTCGAGTACCTGAGACTGGCCTTGGACTCTCTGTGTAGCTAAAGATGGCCTTGACTTTCTGACCCTCCTTGTCTCTAGTGCTGATGTTCTAGGTGTATGCCACCACACCTGGTTTATGCCGCACTTTGGGGCGAAACCCTGGTTCTCGTCCCTGCTAGGCCAGCACTCTACAATATCCCTTGCCCCTCAGTGGTTGAGGGGGGCTGTTTAATCACCTCGAAATGAAGCTTTCCACCCATTAGCAGTTTCCACCTCTCCTCCCCAAACCCTAATGCTTACTTCCTTGTTTGAGCAGTTTCTTGACAAGCCAGGTGTGGTGGCACATATCTGTAATCTCGGTATGTGCGGGGAAGAGACAGGCAGATCTCTGTGAGTTCAAGACCAGCCTGGTCTACAAGAGTGAGTCCTAGGCCAGCCACAGCTACACAGTGAGAGACCCTGTCTCAAAATAAACAACAAAAATTAATGCCGCGCATTAAACTTTACTTGATTATTTAGTCACTTATCTTTGCAACTCCAGAGATGACTCTCGGTGCTGTGCCCCTGGTAGACATGAGGTGTCCTGCTGAGCTACACCCCCAAAACCCACTGTCCAGCCGGGCAGTGGTGGCGCACGCCTTTAATCCCAGCACTCGGGAGGCAGAGGAAGGCGAATCTCTGTGAGTTCGAGACCAGCCTGGTCTACAAGAGCTAGTTCCAGGACAGGCTCCAAAACCATAGAGAAACCCTGTCTCAAAAAAAAAAAAAAAAAAAAAAAAACCACTGTCCAGCTTTACATTGATTTTCCCCCCAGAGGCTCTCTGCAAATGGAAATGCATTTATTTTGTTCTTTCGTGCACCACCGTATTCAGAGGGAGCCGCTGAATTTTCTCACAGGTATTGGAGTTCTGGAAAAACTAAGAGGCAGCCAATCTTCAGAAGCCTGTAGAGAGAGACAGGAGGGGAGGCACAGATCGGTAACCCCAGCATCTGAGAGACTGAGTAGGAAGATAGATCAGTACTTCAGAGCGAGCCTGAGTTACAGTGGAAGACCTTGTGTTCAAGCCCTGTCTTAGTCAGGGTTCCTTTTGCTGTGAAGAGACACCATGGCCATGGCCACTTTTATCAAGGAAAACATTGAACTGGGCTGGCTTACAGTTCAGAGGTTTAGTCCATTATTGTCATGGTGGGAAGCATGGCAGGGTGCAGCCAGACACGGTGCTGAGGGTTCTGCATCTTGAGCTGCAGGCAGCAGAAGTAAACTGTGAGTCACACTGAGCGTAGTTTGAGCATAGGAAACTTGGAAGCCCACCCCCACTATGACACACTTCCTCCACCCATGTCATACTTACTCCAATATAGCCACACCTCCTATGTGTGATTCCCTATGGGGACCATTTTGTTTCAAAGCACTGTAAGCACAAAGGGCTGGGGATCTGATTCAGTGATTAGAGCACCTGCCTAGAATCCCCCAGTGAGGGGCTGGGGTGTGGCTCAGTGGTAGAGCTGTTGCCCATATTCAAAGCCCCAAGTTCCATTCCCAACAAGAGTATAAAATCATGACTTGGAACTTGGATTTGCCTCACCTGCTAGTTCCTGAGCTTCCCCCATGGAAAACCGTACTCCAGGGATATCTGTCCTTGGGGAGGAAAACCAAACTTGTGTGTCTTGATTGAGATGGTATCTGCCACTAAAACAGGAGGCTCTCATCACCAGGCCCAACAGCCTTGCATTCAGTGGGAACCTTGGGATCATTCCAGTAGCCCACAGGGTAAAGTTAAATGCGTATTTTACAGATGAAGAACCAGATGTCCATCAATGGAGGAAATACAAGGCTAGCCTGGGCTGCATGAGACCTTGTTTTTAGACTAGAGGGATGGCTCAGGAGTTGAGAGCACTTGAGTTCATTTCCCAACATCTGCATCAGGCAGCTCACAGCCATCTATAATTCTGACTCCATGGGCACCTGCACATACATGAACATATATGTACATACATACATGAAATTTTTAATAATAAAAATATATAAATAGGGGGCTGAAGAGATGGCTCAGAGGTTAAGAGCATTGCCTCCTCTTCCAAAGGTCCTGAGTTCAATTCCCAGCAACCACATGGTGGCTCACAACCATCTGTAATGGCGTCTGGTGCCCTCTTCTGGCCTGCAGGCATACACACAGACAGAATATTGTATACATAATAAATAAATAAATATTTTATATATATATATATATATATATATATATAGGTCTGTGGTGTCATCGTCACTCTAATATACAAGACATTAACCAACAAGCATACCAGAATCTTCCCAAAAATGGCTTACGGTTATGTTCCAAAGACAGGAGGCATTGTCTGTTTTGTTGTGGGACACATTGCAGTCTGACAGTACTGAGTCCCTTGTTGCTGTGTGGGTTTCACAACTTGCCATTAGCAGGAGGTGTGGTTGACATCAGGGGTAAGAAAGGTGACCACCTCACCAAGCTTCATTTCAGGATTCTCAGGCTCCCAGAAATCCCCAAGAGACAATAGGGACTTCAAATGCCACCCCGCAAGAAGCCCTTGGTTACTAAGTTTGCGCTCCTTAGAAGTCCAAAAGCAAAAAGCTGTGGAAATGGACCAGTTGGTAATGTGCTTGGCGAGCAAGTAAGAGATCAAACCCCCTATATAAAGAAAGAAAGAAAAGGCCAATTGGTGGTGGCATGGTGCACGCCTTTAATCCCAGTAATTTGGAGGCAGAGACGGGTGGATCTTTGTGAGTTTAAGGCCAGCCTGGTCTACAAAGCAAGTTCCAGGACAGCCAGGGCTACACAGAAGGAAGGAAGTTGTGGTTTGTGCCTGTAACCCCAAAGCTAGAGTTGCAGAGGCAGGAGAATTCCTGATGCTCACTAGCCAGCTAGTCTGGTTCAGTGAGAGACCCTGTCTCAAAAAAAGGGGGAGGGGGTAAGGGAGACAGGCAAGATGGCTCAGTGGGTAAGGGTGCCCACAACCAAGCCTGATACCTGAGTTTCATCCCCACAGCCTACCTACGTGGTGGAAAGAAGAAGACTGGCTTTCACAGGTGGTTCTCTGACCTCAACATGTGTGCGATGGCACACAGGCCTGCATACATACATACATACATACACTCATATATGCACACACACACACACAGTAATAAAAATGTTTTTAAAAGGTGAGAGCCAACTAGACCTCTGACCTTCCCATGATAGGTGTGCACACATACACATGGAAAAGAATTCCATCACTGAGCCAAGGCAAGGTCTGGGCAGGGCCAGGGCTTGGGAATCTTGTTCTTGAAGAACCAGGTAGGAAGAACAGAGCTCACCTCCTGAACAGCAGGTAGACACAGAAGCTCAAGACCCAGGCATTGCCCCTCCCCGGCTCTTCTTCCTCCCTCTCCTGTGAAGCTGCCTGCCTCTCCATTACTAGCTGGCTGACCACAGGCCCTTCTGAGTCAGCAGGACCAATGGGCTTCCCCTAGGCTGTGGTCACCATGGTGACTGAGCTAGGCAGATAGGATTCTGATAGACTTCCCTCAGCATCCTCTCCTCCTGAGCCATCTTTTCTGGAAGCTGGCCCGGCCCCCTCCCCCTCCTATTCTCTGACATTACTCCCAACCCCATCTCTTTGGGGACTTACTGCTTCTTCCTGTTGGCCATTAAGACAGGGCCTGGGTGGGGTTTTTTGTGTTTTTTTGTGTTTTTTTTTTTTTAAACCTTTTTGAGACAGGATTTTTCTGTGTAGCCTTGGCTGTCCTGGAACCCTCTCTGTAGACCACGCTGGCCCTGAACTCACGGAGATCCACTTGCCTCTGCCTCTCGAGTGCTGGGATTAAACTTGTGCACCACCATTCCTGGCTGACCTGAATTTGTTAAGTCCACTGAGTTTGAAATTTTTTTTTATTTTTATGGTTTATTTAACTTTATTTTATGTGCATTGGTGTGAAGGTGTCAAATCCCCTGCAACTGGATCTTTAGACAGTTGTGAGCTGCCATGTGGGTGCTGGGAATTGAACCTGGGTCCTCTGGAAGAACAGTCGGTGCTCTTAACCACTGAGCCATATCTCCAGCCCCCTGAAAATTTTTTTTATTTGATTGATTGGTTTATTTTATTTATTTATTTATTTTTGAGGCACCATCTGATGTATATCACAGACTAGTAACACCAAAGATGACCTTGAATTCCTGACCCTCCTGCCTCCACTTTCTGAGTGCTGAACTGCAGGCATGTGCCAGCACTTCTGATTTTGTGCAGTGCTGGGGCTGGAACCTGGGGCTTTCTGGATGCTGGAGAGGCACCCTGCCAAGCACTCCTGTATCTTGTGTCTTCAGCCTTCAGCCCTGGTTTCCTTTTCTTTTCTTTTTGGTGGGTTGGTTTGAATTTTGTCTGTTTCGGTTTTTGTTGTTGTTGCTTTGTCTTGTTTTTGGAATTCAAGCTCATTTTGTAGCCCAGGTTAGCCTGGCATTCAAGTGTCTTCTGCTTCAAGCCTCCTAAGAAGCTGGGGTTACAGGTATTCAGTTCCCACCACACTCCACCTGGCCTCATCTTTGGATCTTAGCCTGGTTGCTCCTGGTCTGGAGATAGCAGGCAAATTGCGTGTCCCTTTTAAGCACTTGTGTGGAGTGGACAGGCGTGCTTCCTCTACAGGGTCCTTGCGGTGTGCATAGCACCACATCCACTTCTTGCCGTATCTCCATCCTGATATGTGCCAGGAATGGGATGGCAGGAGGGGGGTCTTAGCAGGAGCCTGGGGTTTTATGAAGAATCCTGTATTTGAGTCTCTGGGCTCATATCCATGGAGAAATGTGTACATGGTGTTGTATGATGTCTTCTGGGGAGATACGAACAAACATCTCTTCACCCAGATAGGCCACTCACGGCAGGCCCAAGAAATGATTCCACCCAAGGCTGGCTTACTGAACAGTAATCTATTGGGATTATGTTCAGGAACACAGATGAATTAAAGGCAGCTACGTCATGAAAAGCCCTCACCTGGGCGGTGACCCCTGAAAGCTGCAGTCCTGGAGCTCCCTGCACAACCCGAGGGCAGCTCCTCCAGAGAGTCTCCGTTGCCCAGCAGCTGTTTCAGGGGCTTTCTGAGTCTTGGAAGTTTCCTGAGCACTATGAGATTTGGTGTTTGGGTAGTTTTTATTTGTCTTGTTTTAACGAGACATGGTCTCACAATGTAGTCCTGGCTTTCTGGAACTTACTCTGTAGACCACCAGGCTGGCCTTGAATTCACAAAGATCTACCTGCCTCTGCCTCCCAAATTCTAGGATAAAAGGTCGGTGACACCATGCCCAGATCCTCATTTTGTTGTTGACTTCCTGTATTTTTCCAGAGCCTTCCACCAGAAGGGAATGTTTCTGTTTAAAAATATAGCTACACTGGAGAGATGGCTCAGTAGTTAAGAGCACTGGCTGCTCTTTCAGAGGTCCTGAGTTCAATTCCCAGCAACCACATGGTGACTCACAGTCATCTATAGTGGGATCCGATGCCCTCTTCTGGCATATAGGTGTACATGCACAGAGAGAGAGAGAGAGAGAGAGAGAGAGAGAGAGAGAGAGAGAGAACGTGCGCGCGCGCATGCACACACACATATAATAAACATATATATAATAAAAAATACAGCTCCATAGCATTTGGATGTCTGTAACTCGTGCCCTGTCTTATCTCCAAGGAGGACTCCTTGGAGCCTGACCCTGCTGGATGGGACCCAGAACTGTGCCATCTTTTTTCCAGATTAAGTCAAGTATGCAGGTGTGACTAACATGCTAACAGCATACGACACACAGAAAGATTGAGAGAAGTAGGGATTCCTGGGCTGGAGCTCCGTTGGTAGAGCGCTTGCCTGGCGTGCACAAAGCCCCGGGTTCCATGCCCAGCACTGCATAAACCTGAGTGAAGGCATAATGCCTGTCATCCCAACTATCAAGAGGCAGAGGAGGCACAGGGATCCTTAACTACATAGCTAGTTTAAGGCCAGTCTTGTCCCCCCGCCCAAAGAAAAGGTGGGGGTGGTGAGTTGACTTGGTGGGTAAGGTTGCCTGCTATGCAGGCCTGATGACCTGAATTCAGTCATGAGAAAATAGAAGAAGTAAACCAGTTCCACACAGTTCTCCTCTGACCTCAACACACACACCTGGGCATGCACAGCCACTTGGATACCTCATAGCCACACAGGGCTACACATGGTAATCATAAGTAAGGGGCTTAGAAGATGGCTCAGTAGTTAAGAGCTCTTGCTGCTCTTGCAAAGGACCCAGCTTTGGTTCCCTGTACCCATATTGCATGGCTCATAACCATCCATTGTTCTGGTTCCCAGGGAGTCAGATGCCCTCTTCAGGCCTTTGAGGGCAACTGCACTCATAATGTGCACACACAACATGCATACACACAATTAAGAATGAAATAAACTCTAGGGCTGGAGAGATGGCTCGGCAGTTAAGAGCACTCACTGGCTGCTCTTCCAGAGGACCTGGGTTCCATTCCCAGCACCCACATGGCAGCTCACACCCACCTGTAACTAACTCCAGTCCCATGAAATCCCCACTTCAGGGGATCTCCCCTTATAAGGCAACAGGCACAAATGTGGTATATAAGCATACATTCAGGCAAACACCTATATATGTTACAAATAAAAGTAGGTTTATTTTATAAAGACAAAAATAAATCTTTAAAAACAGATTAAGTTTTTAATTTAAGAAGTAGGAATTCAGGCTGGGCGGTGGTGGGCACATGCCTTTAATCCCAGCACTCAGGAGGCAGAGATAGGCGGATCTCTGTGAGTTTGAGACTAGCCTGGTCTACAAGAGCTAGTTCCAGGACAGCCAGGGCTCTTACACAGAAAAAGCCTGCCTCAAAATAACAACAAGAAGAAAAAGTAGGAGTTCAGGGCTGATGAGTTGGCTCAGACATTAAGAGGACCGGGTGTTGATTCCCAGCACCCACATGGTGGTTTACATCTCTGACTCCAGGTCCAGTGAATCTAGCGCCCTCTTCTGGCCTCCACAGGCATTGGGCACACGTGTGATACACAGACAAATGTGGACAACATGCACATAAAATAAAGCAATAAATCACGAAGGCATTACCAACTCTCCTTTACAATGGAGAACACTAAAGCTAGAGACAGATAAAACAACTTCGCACGTGCTTCAGGTCCTGTTGAGTTACCTGGGATCATAAGCCATCCAGAATATCACCTGCTTAGCCTTCCCTAGAAGGGACCTTTTAGCCCTCCTGTTTGAGGACACTGGGGGCTGCAGATATGACTCAGTAGTTAAAGGCACTTGATTGCAGAGGACTTCTGTTTGCTTCCCAGCACCAAACGCCTGTAACTCCAGCTCCAGGGCGTCCAGCGCCCTCTTCTGGCCTCCTCAGTAATTGCACTCATGTGCATAGAACCACACAGGACACACACACATGCACATACATTAATAAAAATGTTTAAATGTGGAAACTGAGGCCTAGAGACAGGCAAGACAGTCTCTAGGGCTTCAGCCGATCCACACACATCTGCCTACCTCTCCAACCAGGCCTGGCAACACCCGGGCTCCAGACAGTGACCGACATCATCATCTGTGTCCCTTGCTCCCTGCAGAGCTGCCCTCTTCTGAGCACCTGAGCGTGGCTGATGCCACCTGGCTGGCCCTGAATGTAGTGTCTGGTGGCGGCAGCTTCTCCAGCTCCCAGCCTATCGGTGTGACAAAGATCGCCAAGTCTGTCATCGCCCCGCTAGCTGACCAGAACATCTCTGTGTTTATGTTGTCCACCTATCAGACTGACTTCATCCTGGTGAGTCAGAGCTATGGCATGCACGCTCCCATACAGTCAGAGACTGGCTATGCACACTCCTAACCTCCTCCGTGTAACACACACACACACAGAGGCATGCACGCCACTTCCAGCTCCCATACAGTCAGAGACTGGCTGTGCACACTCCTAACCTCCTCCGTGTAACACACACACACACACAGAGGCATGCACGCCACTTCCAGCTCCCATACAGTCAGAGACTGGCTGTGCACACTCCTAACCTTCTCCATGTAACACACACACACACACACACACACACACGCTGCTTCTCACACTCTCCTCCTGTCCCGTCTGCTGCTCTTCTCGCCCCGGCCTTGTGCACTACAGCAGGAGGTGGGATGCGTTGGGGCTCAGGGACTCTGCTTCCCGTCCTCAGGTGCGCGAGCGTGACCTGCCCTTCGTCACTCACACCTTGTCCTCGGAGTTCACCATCCTTCGGGTTGTCAATGGAGAAACGGTAGCGGCCGAGAATCTCAGTATCACCAATGGCTTTGTGAAGCCCAAGATGGGTAAGTTGGGGTCGAGGGGAGTGTCCCCAGCAGAAAGCCCGACTCTCAGAGTCCACCTGATGTTCACCGGATTCCAGGTGGGGCGGCTAGCAGTGGCCAGAGGATGGCTCATGTCTCAGGCCAGCTCGTGGTATCAGCATGGCTACCTAGAGGAGGGACCATGGAGTAGAAGCATAAGCATTGGGAGCTGAGCCAGATGGTGGCTGTTGGGAAGGACTTTCTCAACAGCTGAGCAGGTTACACAGAAGCCCAGGGTCCTGAAGGGAAATTTAAGATCAGTGCAGTGTGTGCTGGGGGTGAAAAAAACCACATGGGCCGCGGCGAATAAATCTGAGGCTTGGTCCAGCTCCTGTACACAAAAGCGCTACTCTGGCCTTAATACTTATATCCTATGTTCTTTCAGTCAAGAGGCCAGTCATCCACCCGTTATCCAGCCCAAGCAACAGGTTCTGTGTCACCAGCCTGGACCCCGACACACTGCCCGCCGTCGCCACGCTTCTCATGGATGTGATGTTCTACTCCAATGGGTAGGTGTTGGGGTAGGGAGTAGACATGGAGATATACCACTCCATCCAGGAGCTCTGAGGGCAAAGACCTCATTTTACCCCTAAGTCCAGTCTGCAGGAGGAGACACATTCTGCCCAGGAGCCTAATCTGAAGGGGAGACACAGATCTGCCCTAGAAACAAGTCTGAGGAGAGAGGTATGGTTCCACCTAGGAGCCTGTCTTACTCAGAGTTTCTCTTGCAGCATCCAAAATGCCATGATCGAAAAGCAGGTCGGAGAGGAAAGGGTTTATCTGGCTTATACTGTCATATTGCTGTTCATCATCAAAGGCCTTTCGGACAGCAATTCAAGCAGGGCAAGAGCCTGGAGGCAGGAGCTGGTGCAGAGGCCGTGGAGCGGGGCTGCTCTCTGGCTCTCTTCCCCTGGCTTTCTCAGCCTGCTTTCTTACAGAACCCAGGACTGACGGTCTAGGGAGGATACCACCCACCAAGGGCTGGTTTGGCTGGGCCCTCCCCCCTTGATCACTAATTGAGAAAATGCCTTCAGCTGGATCTCATCGAGGCATTTCCTCAACTGAGGCTCCTTCCTCTCTGATGGCTCTAGCTTGTGTCAAGCTGACATTAAACTAGCCAGTACAGAGCCCAATCTGAGGAGCGAGGCACTGTTCTACCCAAGAACCCGGTTTAAAGGGGGAGACACGTGTGCCTATCACCTAGCTCTTACGGTCTTTCCACCCTCTCTCTCACGATGGATTCTGAGCCTTGCTGGTGGGGTCAGGGTCCCATGTACAGCTGAACATAGTCTCTCCCAGCACTTTGGCCAGGTAAGTCTGTGCATTAACCGCCGCCTGATGGAGAAAGAATGCTTCTCTGGCCGCAGTTGAGAGCGGCCCTAATCCATCAGTCTGAATATAAATATCTAGAAGGCAAAATGACAACAGGTTTTTCCCTAGGGCCTGTGACCTCCCAAGCCATAGGCTTTTCCAGGCTTATGGTACATGTAAACATGGTCATGTAAACAGGGATTTCCCCCATGTGAAGCAGGTCCTAGATTCAAACAGAAAGCAGTTGGTTGTCCTGATAATTGTCACGCCACTATAGCACCAGAGATCACATCTTAACCCGGCAGGTCAGTGATGTAACATTCAGGGTCGATGACTCCGAGTCATGGGCTTTTGGTGAAGGTGAGACACAAGGCGGCACAGCCCTTCCTGCCAGACTGGTGGGTGACAGATAGCATGGAGGATGTGGCAGAAGCCACACCCTCACAGCTCCCTCTTGATCCCCAGAGTGAAGGACCCCATGGCTGCCAGTGACGACTGTGGCCACATCCGCTTCTTCTCCTTCTCCCTCATTGAGGGCTACATCTCACTGGTGATGGATGTACAAACCCAGCAGAGGTGGGCAGGGCCCTGTGTGGATGTTAAGGGGTCCGGGCGGGAGCATGTACTTTCTTCCTAGTCAGTCTGCCCTACTCCCTTCATTGGAGATGTCCCTATAGGTGCAGGGGGTCAGCCAAGGTCCACAGCATGATGGTACCAAAGTGAAGATTCGAACCACAGTCCCAGCTACCTCCAGAGTCCCACCCCAGCATTGCCTTCCCTCACCGACCCCGATGGGACTGACATATCCTTGGAGCCTCTGCTCTTTCCCACCCAAGGAACAGCCACTCTGTCACTCTGGCCCTACAGTGCCCCCCCCCCCCCAAAGCGGAGAAGGTTCCCCAGAGCTGGGGGAGCACCAGTTAGCACCAGCTTCAGAGACCTCTTTCTTCCTTTAAAGGTTCCCGAGTCATTTGCTATTCACGAGTGCATCTGGAGAGCTCTGGAAGATGGTGCGGATAGGAGGACAGCCCCTTGGATTTGGTGAGCCCATGGGGTCCGACACCTGTAGGCAGGGATCCACGCAGGCATTCCTGGGGTGCCTGGATAGCTCCACACTTACGTGGTGATCTAAAGAGGGGGACCTATGCTAAAAGAGCCTGAAGTCCCTGTTCTGACAGATCCCTTGCTTGTGGTGTGACGAGTATATGAAGGCCTTGGGAGACCAATAAGGGGGGCTCTTATACCACCCCCCCCAGATGAAAAATTAAGGCATTGGAGCAGGAAGTGAGACTTGGCAGTAGAATGTTTGCCTAGAATTCCTCAGTGAGGGGCTAGGGTGTGGCTCAGTGGTAGAGCCCCTGCCTAGAATCCCCCAGTGAGGGGCTGTTCAGTGGTAGAGCCCCTGCCTAGGCTCTAAGCATCTGTGTTTCCCTAGACGAGTGTGGAATTGTAGCCCAGATCTCTGAGCCCTTGGCAGCTGCAGACATCCCGGCATACTACATCAGTACTTTCAAGTTTGACCACGCACTGGTGAGTAGCCTCTGGGAACAGGCGGGGACTACAAGGTAGGGAGCAGGTTCCTTGGCTAATGCGTTTTTTTTTCCTGCTTCCTGCCCTCTAGGTTCCAGAAGAGAATATCAGTGGGGTTATCCATGCCCTGAAGGTCAGTCAAGGAGGGAAGCATTAGGAAAGGCTCATCTCTGGGCTCCTCCTAGCTGCAGTCCACTTGGCCCTTTCCCCCCACGAAGGTTATTCTTGCAGTATTTCCCTACGGACTGAAAGATCGGCCCTGGGACCCTACGGAAAGGGCGTCTGGGACACACCCCCGGTTCCTGACTCCTCCAGGCCTGGACCCAAACCCAGGCTACGCCCACATCCACCTCCAGCCTTCCAGAATCCCCAGCTTTTTCAATAATGACTCGGTTTCCCCCCAGTGGGGGTGTGCCCATCTTCCTGCCCCAAGTTCCACCCCAGAATGTGGTCTCTGAGGCCCAGGGGCCTTGGAGAGAGCCCAAGGCCTCACGTACACCCCCCAGCAAACACCAAAGGAAGCTGGCACCGCCCACAAGACGTTGGGATTGGGGTCCTGATGCAGCAAGGGACATCTTAGGAAGTCGGTTCCGCAAGAGTGGGTGTACAGAGCTGAGGAAGCCCCCGTGAGGAACCCCTCAGGATGAATGGTATGGTTGCTGCTCTAATCTCAGAGGCTCAGGGGCTGGTTCCCTCAGGATGGAGGCCAGCAGGCCACCCTCAGGTCATAATGGTCAGTGACCCTAGACCCCACCTGCTGACCACACGGGGCCTGTGTCGATTCCCACTACGACTGCCAAGAGGGGTCCTGGGTCAACCAAGACCTCCCCTGGAGGAGGACAGAATCCCAGGACCCCTCCTTTCCCACCAGCCTAGAGCACCAGCTTCTATCTGTCCCCTCTTCGCTCTCCCTGGACCCAACCTGGGCAAGCAAAGACTCTGTTCGCTCCCAGCAGTGGACATCCCCACCAGCCCAGGCCTAGAGTGCCTTGGGCCATGTCCACCTTCCCAGCTGTCACTTAGACCAGCCTAGAGTTTCCCCCTTCATCCTCTCTACCCCACCCGGAGGGGACAAAGAGGCCTTGGCCCCCAGCTCACATACCTGCCTGAAGTAACCCAGCAGTCTGTGACTGTGGCAAAAGCTGGGAGGTAGCTCCCATGCGCATTTAGAGAAAAAAGTCACACTTGGGGTTTTTTATTCAGTTGTTTGCATACAGGTAGCTGGGAAAGGAGTGGTTTTGTTTGAAGGACATGGGGCCTGCTTGAGTCTTACAAGGGTGCCCAGCGTTCAGCGGCACCTAGCAGCACCCTGTTTCTCCCGGGGCAGACGCAAATGCAAGGATGGATCCTAAGAATCTTGGCCTTGTCTTCTGAGGAGAGTTATCAGGAGCAGAGTTCTGGCATAAGACACCAGGACCCCTATAGTATCCTCTGCAGGGCAAGAGTGCCTGCGAGTGGTACCATAAGCTGGGACTATGGGGTCCACCAGACTTAGGATCATGGGGTGTTTTCTTGGGCCTGTGTTATGCTATCTCCAACAAGGTCAGAGGAGGGAATGTGTGTTTACCCCTGCACAGGTCTTGGTGTGAACTGCGTTCCTCCCTTCTCTGGGCTATAGGAGCAGACCCAAGGCGGAGGATGTATTCTAGAACCCTGTAGAAGCTCAGAACCCAGCATGCTAATCAAAATTACCTCTGGTGGGGTTTGTTTGACTTGTTTTGTTTTTTGATTCCTTTTTCACAAAACAACCAAATCTCGTCATATTGTTTTCTGTTCCCAAAAGGGAAATGGCCAAGTAGACAGGGCCACAGTGAGGCCCCTGAGTCCCCTTCTCTCCCCCTCCAAGGCCTTGATTGTCCAGGGCGCACCTCTCTGTAATCCCTTTGGTCCTACCTTCCAGGTATCCCTTCCCATTGTGTAAGTGTGCTGACCCCATGTCCCCTGCCCCAGAGTTGTGTGGCCCCTAGACTTGCTAGGATGAAACTGTGTATTGTACACACCTATAAATACGTGTTTTATGTTCATAGAGATATATTCTGTAAATAGCATATATTACTTGAGCAATATATATGTTAATATATTCTGTGTGCACAGGACACAGGCAAGGACCCCACCTCGTGTGTGCACACATGGGGACATTTTGAGCCACCATATATTTTTAATTTGAATATGTAGGCAATACAGTGATTGGAAAAGCCCTGGGGTCCAGGAGGCCAGCCTGGAGGGGAGACAAAAACCACCAGCCTACTGCATCTGGGACAGGTTTAGAGGGCCAGCATGGTCCACTTTGTAGCTACTGCACCCCGTTCCCACAGCCTAGAGCTCTGGATGCTCTTTCTTTATTTGGGAGAACATTGGTCCAGAAGGGGAATTGGATTTTTTTTTTTATTCTTTGCATTTTTGACAGTGGCTCCCTCCCTCAGGGTTACTCCAAAATCTTTTTGTCTGGTGAACCCCTTGTATTCTAACCTCCCTCCCAGAGTCCCCTCTCTCTAGGAAGCTGTAGGCCTGGCATCTTAGCTGATTTCTTGTCGTTGTGTTATTTGTTTTCTTGAGGCAGGGTCTCTTTTATATCGCCCTAGCTGTCCTTGAACTCCCTGTGTAGACCAGGGTGGCCTTGAATTTATAGAAAGCTGCCTGCCTCTGCCTCCTGAGTGCTGGCATTAAAGGCGTGTGCCACCACACCTAGGTGATTTTTTTTTTTTCTTAACTCCTGCTAGTTTAGGAATCTCAGGTTCTCTTCCCTGCTCTCTTCCTAGGGCTGACTCCACAGGCCTCAAAACACCTCACATCTTGCCATCTGGCGAGGAGCTGGGGCCTGGGTTCTGCCTGCCAGCCTTCTAGAGACCCCCCACTATTTAGCTACAGTGGGTCCTTTCAAGGAAGCTGGGTCTCTGTGTTCTGTGGGTGGCACTGGCATGACATAGTCTCCACAGCTCTGGGGGATGTGACATTGAGCCCTCTACTCTTGTGTCTTTAGTGATGTCTGCCACTTCTTGGCATCTCTTGGTTTTATGGATGTGGAGGTCACTCCACCCCCTGCTGGCCCAGCCTCAGAGGTGACCCAAGTGACATGCCAGTTGTAGCCAAGGTTCCCTATGGGGATTTTGTTTGTATTTTTCTGCAGCGCTGAGGATTGTGGACAGGGCCTAGTACATTTGAGGCAAGTACTCTGCTGAGCCGCTCCCAGCTCCTAGCAGTGGAGAGTCTCTTGGCTTGCGTGGGGGAAAGGAAAATGGGCTGTTAAAGTATTGGGAGACACAGACAGACCCCCTGGGCAGGGCTACCGGATCGTAGGCTCCAGGAGTTTGTGTCTGCCTAGAAGACTAGAAAAGCTCGGAGGACACAGTGGGACAGTGCGCTTGCCCAGTGTGCATGAAGCACTCAGGAGATGGAAGCAGGCAGATCACAAGTCAAGGCCAGCCTGGGCTATGTGAGACCCTGACTCAGAAAAAAATGCCAAATATCACCTGTATGTTTGACTACCTGTCCACGACAGGCTAATGAAACCATCCAGTGTCCCCATTGACAAAGCCCTCTCCCTAACTTCGGCTCAGCCCCACAGCCTGCTTTCCAAGAAATCTGCTTCTCCCCCAGACCCCAGCAGCAATGCCAACTCTATACTCCCTTCCTCCACAGGGTGTCTGAAGACACGCACGCACGCATGCACGCAGTCCTGGCCCCGTGAAACAAGCTTCTTCAACCCTCCCTGGAGGATCAGCATTGGCCTTGCCCCCACCAGCTGCAGACAACTGGTTCCTAGTGCGATGGGCGGGTTCTAGGGACCTGGTTCGGTCTGCTGCCCATCAGGCGGTATCTTGAGTTGGTTCCCCTGTGGCATGATGGAAGGAACTGGAAGTCAGAAGATATCAGGCAGGTGGGAAGGAGCTAGCACCTGTGCACAGCCAGCCAGACCCCTTGGTCTGGTACATGATTATCAAAGATCTGAGCCAGCTGCTGCCAGCCCCTCCCTGCCCCATTTCCCAGGCTGACCTTTAAAAGTCCCCAGCTACCCTTGGGCCATGCGCCAGAGCCCGATTGGTCTATTGGACGTGAGGACAACACAGGCTCTTCTTGGCTAAGGCAATGCCAGAGGGAGTGGAAAGGAGGAAGTGTCTGTTTTGACTCTTGAGTTTGATGGGATTACTGCAGTCCACCACGGTGGCAAGGCATGGCAGCAGGAGCGTGAGGCAGCTGGTCACGTGGCATCCACAGTCAGGAAGCAGAGAGAGAGATGGACGCTGGTGCTCAGCTCGCTTTCTCCTTTCTATTCAGGGTAGGTTTTACCACCTCAGTTAATCCAGACTCCCTGACAGACTTGAGCAGAGGTTTGTCTTGTAGGTGGTTCTAGATCCTGCGGGCATGACTACTGAGCACCACCCTTCTGCATTCATTCTGTGAGCAGTAGGGGAACCACAGGTGGGGTCAGCACTTGGCTTGATGAGGGGAGCCAGGATGAGGAATAGAGAGGGCTCTCCAACAGGGATGGGATATAGCTTTGAGGGGTTTGGGTTTTTTTGTTTTTTTTTGGTGTTTTGTTTTGTTTTGTTTTGTTTAGAGACAGGGTTTCTCTGTGTAATAACCCTGGCTGTCCAGGAACTCTCTGTAGACTAGGCTGACCTCAAACTCCCGAGATCCATCTGCCTCCATCTCCTGAGTGCCGGGATTAAAAGTCTGCATCACCACCCTCTGGCTTAGCTTTGAGTTTGCAAGTGATGGTCATTGTGCTGAGGGTCCGAGTGTAGCTTGGAAGGGTAGCAGACCTCCATTTTGACATCCAGGAGGGAAGTGAGGCCAAGATGGCTGACAGCCGATCAGCCTTGCTTTGCTGCGTGGGGCTGTTGTGGAGTAGAGCTAACTTAACAGACCTAACCTTTTCATACATCTCTGCTTTCTTTTCTTGTCCATTCCCCCAATTTGAAGCAACAAAAGGACACATTTAGCTGATCCCAGGGTGACCTCCAGCCCCCCCCCTCCAAAAGCTACTCATCTGGGGGAAGGGGAGCTGAGGGCACCAATAGAGGCCAAGACCACGGTGCTTGTGAGCATCGATTTGGTGGTGATGGTTTGTGGCATCTGGTAGAAGAGCAGGCAATCTGGGAGAGTCAAAAGTGCAGGGTGGCTCTGTCCTGTGTGTCAGGAGGCGTTCTGTGTGGTTATATTTACGTGTGTGTGTGTGTATGCGTGTGTACCTGTATTAGGCATGAGTGTGTGCACACATGTGCAGAGCCTATCTCAGAGCTGTGAGCAGTTTCATGCAGTGTTTGGCCCTTCAGCCCAGCCCACTGCCACACAGAGTTAACCAGATTGTGGGGGGGAGGGGGCGGAGATGCGGACCCTGGCTCTGGGGGGTTGCCCTGATAGGATAGGCTCCTTCCCTTATTGTCTGCATCCCCAGGAAAGACTGCCCTCAGAGACCCGGGGGATCCATGCAGGCAGCCTGAGCTGGCCCAGGCCCAACCATGTCACTCTTCAGAGGTTTCAATTCTGAAGACAGTATTCACAGGGAGAGGGGATGGAGACAAGAGGACCCCTCGCTAACCAGGAACTCATCTTGGAAAGGGGTCCACAAACTAGAGGCCCCAGCAATGGGCACAATTCAGGTCTCCACAGGGCAGAGCCTAGCATGGCTTCCCTTTCTACTGCCTCAGTTGAGAGCAGGGTCAGCCCCTAGACAATAGGGAGAGGAATGCGCAACCAGAGCTCTCCCAGCCCTTCTCTTGTATGCCAAAATCATTTCCGTTATCCCGAGGCAGGGGAGCAGGTGTGGGTGCCCTGCCTGCAGCCCCAGCTGACCCTCACCTGGCATGTTGTGCCCAGGTCACCAGCAACACTGGGCTTTACTAGTCCAGCAGCTTGAGTGAGGGGAGGACTGGAGTCCGACTCTCTTCACCTCCAGGGCCTTCATGCTTTCATCTTGTCAAAGAAACAAAACCCTTGAGAGTTGTGTACTGTATGATGGAGAGAAAAAAAAAAGTACCTAATGTTCCCCCTAAAAAAAAGACAGTATATTTTGTACTTTGTAAAGTGTTCATTAAATGAAGGGGAAAAAAGACGATGTTGGCTGATGGCTGTATGATTTTATGTTGATTTATGCAGGATCGTGTCTCATTTCTTCTCTCTTTCCCATATTGTTTGGAGAACATGGCTAGAGGAGCCAGGATAACCCTCAGGTGTAACCCTGAGTCTCAAAAGCTGCCTGGAGGTTTGTATCAGCTACCTGATGCTGTGTAATAAGTTGTCCTAAAACAGTGGCTTAAAATGATACATCTCTGTATCCTAGCACTCAGGAGGCTCAGGCAGGAGGATGGAGGGTTCCAGGCTAGCCTGAGCTACATAATAAAACCCTATCTCAGTAAAAGGGGCTGGAGAGGTCACCCAGCGGTTAAGAGCACTGGTTGGTTGATGCTCTTTTCCAGAGAGCCTGGGTTCAATTCCCAGCACCCACATGGTGGCTCACAACCATCTGTGACTCTGGTCCCACGGAATCTGGCAAGTTCTTCTGGCCTCTGCATGGGTACCAGGTACCCATCTAGTACACAGACATACATGTGATAAAACATCCATATGCATAAAATAAATAAAAGTTAAATGGAAGAATGGTTTTTTCAGCGGGTTCGGTCTGTGGTCATGGACCTGAGTGAGGCAGAACACCATGACAACGAGAACTTGCAGAGAAGGAATTGTTCATGGCATCCAAGAAGCAGAGATGGGAACACAGGAAAAGGCCAGGGCAAGCTATTGCATCTTCAGTGACCTTCAGTGAAGTACCACCTCTTATCTATCACTACCTCCCAGTAATGCCAACAAATGATGAATCTATCGAGCTATCATGGATCCATTAATTATCCATTAATTAGGTCAGAGCCTTTGTAATCTGTATGTTTCTGGGCATGTTGTCATAGAAACAGACAGGAATGTGCTTGTAAACCCTAAACATCTCAGTCCAGCAAGTACCCAGTACCCACACAGTGAGCCACAACCACCTGTAACTCCAATTCCAGATCTGATGCCCTCTTCTGGCCTCTCTGAGTTCTGCACAAATGTGGTATACATACACACAGACAAAATATTCATACACATAAAAATCATTAAAAATAATTTTTTTGAAAAAAAAATGTAAGGGGTTTGGGAAGATGGCTTAGTGGTTAAAGAGCCCTTGCTATTCTTGCAGATGAGACCGGTTTAATTGCTAGCACTTAATAGTTCAGATTTCCTCTAGCTCTGGTTCCCGGCAATTTTATGCCACCTTCTGACATCCATGGCCATTACATACAGATGGCGTGCAGACATGCAATGAAAACACATATACACATAAGAATAATTTTTTTTTTTTTGGTTTTTTCAAGACAGGGTTTCTCTGTAGCTTTGGAGCCTGTCCAGGAACTAGCTCTTGTAGACCAGGCTGGCCTTGAACTCACAGAGATCCACCTGCCTCTGCTGGGATTAAAGGCATGAGAACAAGAGGATGCCTGGGAAGAGGGAGGTGACTCTGACTTCGCCCAGGGTCTGTATCATTCACATGCTCACTAAAGTGAGACAACATGCACACTTTACAGGAACAGCATAAGCAGCCCACAGAATGGCTTAGCAGGGTTTCCGGTGTCAGAGGGGAGGGTCAGCACCAAACAGACCAACACCAGCACCCAGGTACAGATGGCAGCTGAGCAGAGGCCCTGGTGGCACACAAAGAGGACAGACGCTGCATGGCCAGGCTGGCCAACAGGTGAAACAGGCTTTAAGGCACACTCGAGGATGAGTGCGCCCCTTTTTGCACACAGGTGACTACAGTCAGGGTGCTTGTTTTGCTTTGTAGTTTGTTGGGACAGGGTCTCGTGGTGGCCTCATGTATCCCAGACTGGCCTGACTCAACATGTAGCCCAGGATGACCTCGAGCTGATCCTCCTGCCTCCAGGTCCTGCCAGTCTGAGCTACCGGAATGTGCTGCCATATCCTGTTTATGAGGCGCTAGGAATCGGACTCAGGGCTTCATGAATGCTATAATCAAAGACCTTACCAGAGACATGTTCCTGGCCCCTTTAATTTTCTAAGGACTTTTTACATTAAAAACATTTTTAGTCATGTGTATGTGTTGACAGGAGCATGTATGTACACATGCATACAGACACTCTGAGAAGCAGAAAAGGGTGTCAGATTCCCTGGAGCTAGAGTTACAGCCATTTGTGAACTGCCTGGTGTGGGACTTGAACTCAAGTCCTCTGTAAGAGCAGTAACTTAACAACTGAACCATCTCACCCACTCAACTTCTATTTCAAGTTCACAGCAGCCCTTCCTATTGTAAGCCTATGACTAGCCCTTGAAGAGAACCGGGGGCAGATCCACCTGGGTGAAGGGGCCCTGTAACTGCCAAAACAGCCATCCCCTCCAACACCAGCCAACTGGTCCTCATGACATCCTGCTTGTTGACCCCTCAACCTTCCGACACATCCCACTTCCTTGTTAGGTTTTCTCCATGTTAGAGTTTTCATTTGAAATGTCCCCCACGGGCTCATGTGTTAAATGTGTGTGCTCCACCACAGGTGGTATTTTCTGGAAGACTGGCACGTTAGAGGGTCAGTGGGGCCTGGACAACAGAAGTAGGCCGCTGGGGGGTGGTCCTTAAAGGTGGTAGTCCAGCCAACATCCGATTGCATGCTGCTTCCTGATCTGCCAAGTGAGAGGCCTCTACCCCATGCGCCAGCCCCCAGAAACTCTGCTGTGCCTTTCCTGCCGTGCTGGGTTAGAACCCTCTGAAACTGAGAGCCAAATTAAATCCTTTAAATTGTTGCTCTCAAGTATTTGGAGCAAAACTTTGCTTTCCTCCACAGCCCACACAAGCAGCTCCCAAACTCTGTATTTTGTATAATAATGTCCATTTCCTTCTCCAGGCTGCACAAAGCAGGGATTCTTCCACCACATGACTCAGTGGCCCACGCCTGCACTTAAGGGGCCCACACGTACCTGTAGAGTGAACAAGTAGCGGGTGGGGTGTAGCAGGCAGCGTGAAAGATGGTAATTAGTGACTCAGGCACCAGCTCTCCCCAGCTGAAGAATCTATCTGTTCAGGGCTAGGGAGATGACTCAGTGGGTTAAGTGCCTGCCTGACAAGCTGACAGCCCGGGGTCAGTCAACAGAACCCATGGAAAAAAAGGCAAGCATGGCATCATGTGCCTGTCGTCCCAGCTCTGGGGAAACTGAAACAGAAGGATCCCTGGGACTCTCTGGCCAGCCAGCCTTCTTGGGAACTTTCAGGTAGGGAGAGATCCTGTGTCCAAACGTAAGGCGGAGCTGGGTATGGTGGTGTAAGCCTTTAATCCCAGCACTCTGGGAGGCAAGGGCAAACAGAACTCTGCAAGTTCAAGTCCAACCTGGTCTAGAAAGTGATACCCCATCTCAGTAATAAGACGGCTAGCACCTGAGGAATGACACTTGACACTGTCCTGTCCTCCACATGAATGCACACCCGTGTGCACATGCGCACATGCAACCGCACACACACAAAACACATCCCAGGTGGGACTGCCTTCCAAAGTGTTCTCCACGGGCTTCCATTTGTTTCCTAGGGTCTCGAAATGATCTAGTGAAACATTTCCAAGACCTCCATCTTTAAAAAGGCAGAAAATAGACTTTATTCTAAAAAAACTTTTCAAACACTGTTCTGAAAAGGCAAGTTTTCTTAAAAACAAGTATTTTCCCAGTTTCTGATGCTTCCTACTCCAAGACTGGCCCTCCAGCCAAGATTCCCCAGCCCTCGGCCCACAAGCATTTGGCCTGCAGCCTCTTTCTTCAAGGGCTTCTGGACAGTTCAGAGCCAGGCAGAGAGATGGCTCCAAGGCTGGGATACTGTAGACCCATGGGGGAGGCTGGCTCACACTGGCTGCTCCATAAAGGGTCTCAAGCCAAGGCATTCTGGGCTCCCGGACTGTGTCCTGGGGAGCTTGTGGGGTGGCAGCTGATCAAAGAGGCCCTAGCTGAAGTTAGCTGGCTCTCCTGCTGAGCTGGGCCAGCCAGAGGCCCAAGTGTGTCCTGTTGTGACAGGGGACTACAGATTCTCCTGAATGCCTTGTCATGTCTCCAATGTGCCACGAATAACAAATGTTCCCTAAGAAAAGCCTGCCATCCTAGGGCCTTATGCCCTGGTACTCCTCAGGAGCACACCAGGCCAGGAGCCTCAGCAGCAGGGAAAGGTCTTGTCCACAGACTCCTATTACGTCCCCACTGGGCACAAAGTAAGCCCCCTGCTCCACACAGGCCCTGGCCCTCTCCCAGCATCCTCAGAAGCTCTGCTGGTGGCCACACCTTGCCTCTGCCAAGCTGTTGCTGTCGGTATAGTTCAGTCTCTGGGGCCAGCCTGGGATGGGCCCAAAAGGAGATTCAGATGAATGACTTGGCCAGAGTTACCATGTGATCCACACCACATGCCACGTCCACAGGCTCACCGGGCATCGTCACCTGGAAAACAAGCCCCAGGACACAGTGAGGGGAAGGGTGAGCAGGCTCTGGAGTGCATCTGGGAGAGACAGGGACTTGATGGCTCTATTTTCCTGTGCAGCTGAGGCTGACCATGAACCTCTGACCCTCCTGCCTCTACCTCCCGTGCTGGGTTTACAGACATGAGTCCCACACATGCTTTATGGTACTGGAGACAGCCCCTAGCCAGGGCTCTGCGTGTGCTAGGCAAGCACTCCAGCTACTGGGCCTCCCCCTCAGCCCCACACTAATCCACAGCCACCCTACCTCCCTGCCCATCAATGGCATCACCTCTGGTAGCTACCCTAGAGAAGTGACCCTGGAGGATACATATGCTCCTGGTACTATTGTCTGTGGCAATGGCTTCCAGATTCCCTGCCTGAAGGCTGATTGCTGTGGGATAATGCTTTTTGTACACTGTAAAGATGTGTCACTTGTACTGGTTTAATACAATGCTGACTGGCGAGTAGCCAGGAAGGAAGTATAGGCGGGGCAACCAGACTAAGAGAATTCTGGGAAGAGGAAAAGCCAGACACAGTTGCCACCCAGACACAGAGAAAGCAAGATGAGAATGCTGCACTGAGAA